TTTACTGACTTGACCTACGGAGGGTCTTCGGCCGACACCACACCGGTGTCTTTTTAAGATCTTTTTACGGTCATTTTCCTTTGTTCTCTTTTTCTTGAAGTTCCACAGGATTGCTGGTGGCCCACTTAATCCGATTTTCTTGGCTACAGAAATTACCGTCTATAATTTAGTGCCCACCGTGGGGCCCTAGCAATCATTCCTACAAATGGGACTCTCATCATTACTATTCGACAATTATCCTCGCCATGTCAGGAACTTCTGAAACCCATCGTACAGACGGCTTCACTGATTATACTTCGGAAGAATTAGCTCATCAGGAAGCAGAATGAATGATTCATCAAGAGGTGGAAGCAACAATGCGACAAGGAGACGGCTCAGGTCATGCTGCCGCTTTGCCTACCACCCCAACATTGGCTCGTCCGATCCAGCTAACAACCATCCAGCCGATCCCTCCGATCCAACCGGTAGCTGAACGGCAGAGTACAGTCTATCCTGCCTCTACATATCCTCAACCTACTCTTGTGAAATCACTGCACAGCTAGCCTAACTTATCAAGTTAACAAAACAGAATTCACAAAAGCTTGAAAGGCTAGAAGCAGAGAATGTTGCCATCCATGTGGAGAATCGAGACCTTCAAGAAAGAATGGAATCCTTGGTATCCCATTCAACATTGCCACGCCCATTACGGCTGACTCCTTCACTTGACCAAAATGGACGTAAGACCATTTGTTCGAATGTCCAATTTGTCGTACCGGTTAACGAAAAATCAGAAGACGCGCACCACAGCCTACTAGTGAACAGGACCAAAATTCGTATGAAAATTAGCAGCGATCGAAGCCATGGTTCAACATACCCCAGGGATACCAGCGCCTATCAAGAAAAGTGCAACCAGTTGTTTCGCCGACTCTCCCTTTGTCAACGAAATTGCCCTGGTCGAAATGCCCAAAAAATTTAGCTTCCCTAATATAAAGTTATACGATGGGATAGTTGACCCAAACGATCATATAGCTCAATATAGACAGAGAATGTTTTACTGTCGCTAAACCAAGAGACCTTCGAGAAACTTGCATGTGTAAAGGGTTCAGCTCCAGTCTAGTGGGGCCGGCCCTACAGTGGTATACCAATCTCCCAAATAATTCTACATCATCGTTCGCCCAACTAACTGATACTTTTGTTGAATAGTTTGCAAGCAGCAGAAAACTTGAGAAGCGATCTGATGACCTCTATCACATAGTGTAAAGAGGAAATAAGTCACTGCGGGGATTTGTCGGACGATTCAACCGAGAAAAAGTTTCCATCCCTAGCTGCAACCAACAAACTGCTATTTCCGCTTTTCAAAAAAGGCTCCTCCCAGACACTGATTTGTATAAGGAACTCACTAAATACCCATACAGCACAATGGAAGATGTCTTGGCCAAAGCTTGGGCTCAGATTAAATGGGAAGAGGATGATGCTAATTATAATTTCACCAGACATCAACTTCATTAAGAAGAGCCACGACGACCAAACAAGGCTGAGAAACGGCCCACCAATACCTACTCCTCTTCGGATAGGAGAGACACCAAGCGTAGGAACTGCCCAGACTAATTGAATGACCTTCTACAAGAACGAAGATTGGGGTCCCCGAATACAATCTCTCTATTAGGCTAACAGAACTAATTGCAGTATTGAAGGGAATGGGCAACACGGTGAATTGGCCCGGAAAGATGAAAAGCTCTAGTGACCAGCGAGATAAAAGTAAATGGTGTGAGTTTCACGCCGACCATGGCCACCGCACAGATGATTGTATTGCTTTGAGGTTGGAAGTAACTGAACTATTGAAGCAGGGATGTCTTACAGACCTTCTAACCAATAAAAGAAAGGAGAACGTCAGAAGACGATAACAACAACAACACGGTAAGCAAAGTTCTGAACCAGTGGTCGCACCATCACAAGATCAAACCATTAACTTTATCAATGGCGGATCAAAAGTTAGTGGAATAACAAGGGCAACGGCACGAAGGCATGCGCATCGAGCAACTCACCTCTATTAAAGTCTAAGCCAAATAAGCCAGTCAGACACACCACAGATCATTAGCTTTATGACATCTAAGGCTACGCAGCTACTCAATCAACACCATGATGCTTTGATCATATCTTTGAACATCGCCAACTGCTTAGTCAAGCTCATTTTGATAGACAACGGCAGCAATGCAAACATACTTTTCCTGGAGACCGTTAAAGCTATGGGAATTACATAAGAAAACATTACACGTCGGACGACGGTGCTAATTGGTTTTAGTGGTGAACAAAAGAATACTCTAGGCGAGATTGTTTTGCCTATTTATGCAGAAGGGGTTAACCTTCACACCCAATTCCTCGTAATGGATAGTCCTTTAGCATATAATGTTATCTTGGGTAGGCCTTGGATCCATGAAATAAAGGTCATACCATCAACATTTCATCAGGTACTCCGTTTCCCGACTAAATGGGAAATAAGAGAAATTCTTAGCGACCAAAGGAATTCCAGGGAGTGCTACCAGAATTCACTCCGCTCTGACCGATCTCCTTTATAGCAATTACAGTAATCCCAGCCGACCATCCTAGATCAACCAGATGTGGAAGAACTAGACAAAGAACAAATCCACCCTGACTTTCCAAATCACAAAACTCGACTCGGAGCAAGGCTAGAACCAGAGCTCAAGCAGCGCCTAATCAAGTTCCTCATGGAAAACCATGATTGTTTCGCTTGGTCCTATACTGACATGACCGGTGTTGACCTGGAGGTAATAATGCACAAATTGAATGTTGATCCCCATTACATTCCGATCAAATAGAAGCAAAGAAGATTCGCACCCGAACGAAACCACATCATTAATGAAGAGGTCCAAAAGCTTTTAGAAGCTGGTTCCATACGAGAAATCAACTACCCAGATTGGCTGGCAAATGTCGTCGTGGTGAAAAAGAAGAACAGTAAGTGGAGAGTTTGCATCGATTTTACAGACTTAAATATGGCATGTCCGAAGGACAGCTTCCCTCTTCCACATATAGACATGATGGTCAATTCGACAGCTGGATATGAGCTTCTAAGTTTTATGGATGCTTTCTCTAGGTACAACCAGATATTGATGTACCTAGCTGACCAAGAGAAACCCGCTTTCGTGATAGAGCGAAGCACGTTCTATTACAAGGTTATGCCATTCGGACTCAAAAATGCGGGAGCAACCTATCAACGACTAGTACATCATATGTTTGCTGAGCAACTTGGAAAATCCATAGAAGTCTACATCGACGATATGTTGTGAAGTCTTTGATTGCAGAGCAACACATAGACCACCTTAAGCAGTCTTTCGAGGTTCTAAAAAAGTACAACATGAAGCTTAATCCGTCCAATTGTTCATTCGGAGTATCCTCTGGCAAGTTTCTGGGTTACTTAGTAACACAACGGGGAATTGAAGCAAATCCGGACCAAATCCAATCAATCATTAACATTCCATCTCCAACTTGTATCAAGAAAGTTCAGAGGCTTACTGGAAGGCTTGCAGCTCTTAATAGGTTCATCTCTCAATCTTCAGAGAAATGTCAAAAGTTCTATAACATATTAAGGAAAAATAAACTTTAGAATAGACCCCGACATGCGAAGAAGAGCTTCAGAAACTCAAACAGTATCTGACATCACCACCACTCCCGTCGAAATTGAAAGATGGAGAACAACTATACATGTACTTGGCAATTTCGAAGACAGCGGTTAGCGCAGTCTCGGTCCGTGAAGAAGATGGAAAACAACTCCTAATCTACTATGTTTGCAAAGCATTACTGGATGTAGAAACTCGCTATAGCTAACTCGAGAAATTAGCTTCGTCACTTGCTAACGTAGCTCGAAAACTAAGACCGTACTTCCAGAGCCATTCGATAGTAGTCGTGACATCGTTTCCACTAAAACAAATACTCCATAAACCCGAGTTGTCCGGACGACTAACCAAATGGACCGTCGAATTAAGTGAATATGATATTTCCTTTATACCCCGCATTGCCATCAAATCTCAGGTACTCGCGGATTTCATCGCTGATTTTGTACCTAACTCACATGTTTTGGCCTAAAGAGAACTTCTCTGCTTGACAAATGGACCGACAACGGGCATATGGACGCTCCAAGTAGACAGGTCGAGCAACATCAATGGTGCAGGACTTGGCATTGTCTTAACATCACCAGAAGGAGATCAAATAGAACGGGCGGTTAGGTGTGAATTCAAGGAAACCAACAACGAGGCAAAGTACGAAGCACTCATTGCTGGACTGGCCTTAGCAAGAGATATCGAAATCACCTGAATACACATCTATAGTGATTCTCAGCTCATTGTAAACCAAGTACAGGGCACTTTCCTTGCTAAAGACACAAAGATGACATCCAACCTAGAGTTGGCCAAGCGGCTCTGCAAAGAGTTTGATGAGTCCCATATCACTCAAGTCCCACGAATTGAAAATATCCAAGCAGACACACTAGCCAGCCTCGGAGCAACTATGAATACGAAATAAAGTAAGGTAATCCCGGTAGTTTACTTGTAATGGCCAACAGTTCGAAAATCCGATGAGAATAATAGAATTCATTCATTCGAGGAACGGTCCTGGATAACACTGATCATCAAGTACCTCCAAAATGATGAGTTGCCACCAGATAAGAATGAAGCTCGGCGAACTAAAGCTAAGGTTGCGAGATTTTGCATTATGGACGGTAAGTTGTATAAAAGATCATTCTCTGGACCCTATCTCCGATGCACCAGCGACACAAAGGTCGAATATGTCTTGGCTAAACTTCACGGAGGGGAGTGTGGTAATCACTTGGGAGCCCAGAGCCTATCACATCGCACACTAACCGCTGGGTACTATTGGCCAACCATGCGGACCGACTCTGTTAATCACGTCAAAAAATGTGACAAATGCCAACGATTCACCAATGTCTCCCACCTTCCTCCGGAACGGCTCAACCCTGTTCTTTTACCTTGCCCGTTCATGAAATAGGGATGGACATTATTGGAAAACTCCCCGCTGCTCCAGGACAACGAGTTTTTGTGCTAGCAATCACAAATTATTTCACGAAATGGATTGAAGCAGAGGTACTCTCGAAGGTACGTGATCGCGAAGTTATCCAATTTATTTGGAAAAATGTAATATGCAGGTTTGGAGTCCCAAAGGAAATAGTTACGGACAATGGGACACGGTTCATAAACACCGGGTTTCAAAATTTCTGTAAAGAGTGGAACATCAAGCTAAACTTCTCCACTCCGCGGTATCTCCAAGCCAACGGTCAGGCCAAATCTTCCAATAAGATTGTCATGAACACATTAAAAAAAGACTATCTGAGGCTAAAGGAAAATCGACAGACGAGTTTCCTAGTGTCCTTTGGTCCCACCGCACCACCGTTCGAACACCCACCGGTGAAACGCCCTTCTCGTTGGTTTATGGCTAGAAGCAGTCATACCAGTAGAAATAGGCACTCCAATATTTCGGTATGAATGGACAACTGATGAGTAGAATCAAGTGGAGTTGTGCCATGAATTAAATTTGGGACTATCTGAGGCTAAAGGAAAATCGACAGACGAGTTTCCTAGTGTCCTTTGGTCCCACCGCACCACCGTTCGAACACCCACCGGTGAAACGCCCTTCTCGTTGGTTTATGGCTAGAAGCAGTCATACCAATAGAAATAGGCACTCCAATATTTCGGTATGAATGGACAACTGATGAGTAGAATCAAGTGGAGTTGTGCCATGAATTAAATTTGGCAAATGAACAAAGAGAAAGAGCTTTGATTCTTACAGTCTCATATCAACGAAAAATCGCCCAACATTTCAACAGGGAAGTGAGAATTAGAACCTTCAAAAAAGGCAAATGGGTGCTATGAAGAGTATTTCAAAACACCAAGGAAGCTGGTGCCAGAAAGCTTGCAGCAAATTGGGAAGGACCGTACCTGATCACTAAGGTCGTCGGGCAAAGAGTCTATAAGATACGCACCCAAGACGGTAGAGATATCACCAACAGCTGGAATGCCATCCACCTCTGCAAATATTATTTTTAAGTCTTCTAAACTCTTCTTTTTTATTTGCCATTTTTATTTTCATTCGAAATTCGTGCTGACTTAAGCATCAGAGAGCCGATTGCAGAAATGTCATCGGCAATCCTAACCTTCTCTGCTTTCAAGAGGATCGACGAGAAAGTGTCGAGCTGGAACGCCATCCACCCCCACAAATATTATTCCTAAGTGTTCTAAACTCTTCTTTTTTATTTGGTATTGTTATCTTCATTTAAAATCCATACTGACTTAAGCATCGGAGAGCCAATGGCAAGACCTAACCCTCTTTGCTCTCGGGAGATTCACCAAAGGGAGAAATGTATATGATATCAGACTTTTCTTATCACCAACGATTTGGAATCCTTGAATTTTGTAAAGAAAATCCCATGCAGGTATCAAAAGCTATTTTGGAGTCAATAGAAATAAGCATATAAATTGCATCAAGTCATCTGCATGAAAAAGACCACGTGGTTGCCTCCAAGCCGTCCGGACGAAGGAGAACACACGATTGCTGGACAGGGGTGCCATTACCCTAACCATGAGGCCGATCCAAACAAAGACTCAACTGTCTCTAGAGCAGCTAATAAAATTACCTACTAAGTCAGACAGACTGGTCTGTTCCAATCCTTTGCAAAAGTACTTTGATGAGTCGACTTTATCTTTTATGATGAGAAAACAAATCCAATTTCCATTCCAATATTATGGTTACGCTTTTATTACAAATAAAATCCTAAGTTCGATACTTCACGAGTTTTCTACAGTTAGGCACATAACTCCAATAAGTCTACAAATTATATAGTTTGGAAAGACACGAGTTCAAAGACCACTCATACATTTGACTAATACATAAGCTTGAAAGAAAATAATGGTTGAAAAGCACACTTGGAAATGTGCTTCCAAAGGCACCTAGACCTGCCAATCATCGGCATTCCTGATTCCATCGCCGGATGAAGCCCCAACTTCGGACTGCTCCTCCAAAGTATTCGACATACCAAGAACCTGGCACAACTCCGCATAATCGACAATAGCTTTAACATGCCTACCTTTCTTGTAATCATTCATAAGAAAGGCCCGAGTGGCTATCTCGACTTCCAACTGGAAGTTCTCCAAATTGTCTTCCAGAGAAGTGATCTGATCCCCTGAAGACTTCTTCGAGTTTGCAAGTTCCTCCTCCAATGCAAGCTTTTCGCGAACCACCTCGGCTAGCTCATCTAGCGCCTTCCTAGTGGCCAAATCAGTTTCTTGCTTCTCTGTCCTCAAACTTTCATTTTCCCCACGCAATGAAGTATTCGAATCCTGCTATAAGCGCACCTTCCTAGCCTTCCTAACGGCTTCATTCTTCTGAAAAATGGCCCCTTGTAGTACCTGAAATCAATGGAGTAAGTTCGTGTCAGTCAACTGGGTTATCTATAAAGAAGTATATAAAAATATTATACTTGGAATGCCTGAGTCATTGTGTTTTCGACTGCCTTAACTGGACCAAGTTGTTCGTAGCGAACGCGATCTTCAAGAAATAAAAGTCCTTCGCCAAGTTCCGCCACCCCAGGGTTAGAAAAGGCAGAGGAGTGTAATGGGAAGGTAAGCAGTATCGAGTCGTCGTCTACCAACAATGGCCCCTGTCGACCGTATTTTCGGATCGACAGGGAAGGAGCATCAGGCAGCTCAGTCTGGCTGGAAAGACCAACAAACGAAATTAGGGTATCAGCTAGTACCGTGCGAGGAGAAACTTTTTTAGACTTCTACTTCGCCTTTCTCCTTTCCAAAGCATCGAGCGAATATCCTACCACTCTTGACATAATTCGATCTGCAATCTCACGATCGGTTGAGTTAAGTGGGTCGATCATAGGAAGGTTACTACCAAGAATTTCCATACCTCTCTTTGCCATTACAATAGGGATCTTATATCTCGAAAAATTGGAAGGAATACCTCTTGGTTTATTTGAAATGTGCTCCAACAAGTTGCTTGAAGAAAGGACTTTTGGAGACAAAAGGAATTGGCAATCCCTTTGACCATTAGGTATTGCTAAGATCTTGGAAATGCGCTCCCCTACGAACAATCCTTCGTCTGGCCACGTGTTGACGTGAAGACCTGCAAGAAAATGAAATAAGAACCTCAAATCAGTAAAGTATATTGAAAGTAAATGATCTGTAAAACTTACCGCGGGACCATGCCGAAGGAAAATGGTAACTCTCCAACCAAACCAAGTCACCCGATACGAGGAAATAAGACCCTTTCCAAAGCATCGAGCGAAGATCCTACCATTCTTGACATAATTCGATCTGCAATCTCACGGTCGGTTGAGTTAAGTGGGTTAGTCATAGGAAGGTTATTGCCAAGAATTTCCATACCTCTCTTTGCGATTACAATAGGGATCTTATATCTCGGAAAATCGGAAGGAATACCTCTTGGTCCAGTCGAAATGTGCTCCCACAAGCTGCTTGAAGAAAGGACTTTTGGAGACAAAAGGAATTGGCAATCCCTTCGACCCTTAGGTATCGCTAAGATCTTGGAAATGCGCTCCCCTACGAACAATCCTTTGACTGGCAGCGTTCTGATATGAATACCTGCAAAAAAAATGAAATAAAAACCTCAAATCAGTAAAGTGTATTTAAAGTAAACTATCTGCGAAACTTACCACATGACCATGCCGAAGGGAAATGGTAACTCTCCAACCAAACCAAGTCACCTGATCCGAGGAAATAAGACCCTTTCCAGCCCTTATTCCCAGAAGAAAGTCCAACTATCAATCGATCAACATTTTTCCTTGCATTTAAGGAAAAACGGCCCTTCTCACAGTCGTTCTCCCGGATAAAGTATCCATGAAGTAGCTCTAGCATGCCGAACGAGATATCATGCCGCTCGGTTAAGACCTGAAGTGCTAAAAGCAATCTCCAAGAGTTAGGCATAAGTTGGCTAGGTGCAACCCTGCTATAAGCGCACCTTCCTAGCCTTCCTAACGGCTTCGTTCTTCTGAAAAATGGCCCCTTGTAGTACCTGAAATCAATGGAGTAAGTTCGTGTCAGTCAACTGGGTTATCTATAAAGAAGTATATAAAAATATTATACTTGGAATGCCTGAGTCATTGTGTTTTCGACTGCCTTAACTGGACCAAGTTGTTCGTAGCGAACGCGATCTTCAAGAAATAAAAGTCCTTCGCCAAGTTCCGCCACCCCAGGGTTAGAAAAGGCAGAGGAGTGTAATGGGAAGGTAAGCAGTATCGAGTCGTCGTCTACCAACAATGGCCCCTGTCGACCGTATTTTCGGATCGACAGGGAAGGAGCATCAGGCAGCTCAGTCTGGCTGGAAAGACCATCAAACGAAATTAGGGTATCAGCTAGTACCGTGCGAGGAGAAACTTTTTTAGACTTCTACTTCGCCTTTCTCCTTTCCAAAGCATCGAGCGAATATCCTACCACTCTTGACATAATTCGATCTGCAATCTCACGATCGGTTGAGTTAAGTGGGTCGATCATAGGAAGGTTACTACCAAGAATTTCCATACCTCTCTTTGCCATTACAATAGGGATCTTATATCTCGAAAAATTGGAAGGAATACCTCTTGGTTTATTTGAAATGTGCTCCAACAAGTTGCTTGAAGAAAGGACTTTTGGAGACAAAAGGAATTGGCAATCCCTTTGACCATTAGGTATTGCTAAGATCTTGGAAATGCGCTCCCCTACGAACAATCCTTCGTCTGGCCACGTGTTGACGTGAAGACCTGCAAGAAAATGAAATAAGAACCTCAAATCAGTAAAGTATATTGAAAGTAAATGATCTGTAAAACTTACCGTGGGACCATGCCGAAGGAAAATGGTAACTCTCCAACCAAACCAAGTCACCCGATACGAGGAAATAAGACCCTTTCCAAAGCATCGAGCGAAGATCCTACCATTCTTGACATAATTCGATCTGCAATCTCACGGTCGGTTGAGTTAAGTGGGTTAGTCATAGGAAGGTTATTGCCAAGAATTTCCATACCTCTCTTTGCGATTACAATAGGGATCTTATATCTCGGAAAATCGGAAGGAATACCTCTTGGTCCAGTCGAAATGTGCTCCCACAAGCTGCTTGAAGAAAGGACTTTTGGAGACAAAAGGAATTGGCAATCCCTTCGACCCTTAGGTATCGCTAAGATCTTGGAAATGCGCTCCCCTACGAACAATCCTTTGACTGGCAGCGTTCTGATATGAATACCTTCAAAAAAAATGAAATAAAAACCTCAAATCAGTAAAGTGTATTTAAAGTAAACTGTCTGCGAAACTTACCACATGACCATGCCGAAGGGAAATGGTAACTCTCCAACCAAACCAAGTCACCTGATCCGAGGAAATAAGACCCTTTCCAGCCCTTATTCCCAGAAGAAAGTCCAACTATCAATCGATCAACATTTTTCCTTGCATTTAAGGAAAAACGGCCCTTCTCACAGTCGTTCTCCCGGATAAAGTATCCATGAAGTAGCTCTAGCATGCCGAACGAGATATCATGCCGCTCGGTTAAGACCTGAAGTGCTAAAAGCAATCTCCAAGAGTTAGGCATAAGTTGGCTAGGTGCAATTTCAAAATACTCTAATACCATCGTGACCGCATGGGGAATCGAAAATCGAAAGCCGTCTTTAAATGGCAACTCATAGAAAAGAACCCAACTTGGGACATTCCACGA